CTTGTGCCTCCCTCTATTGGGAAGCTGCAAAGGCAGTATAGCTGAAAATTAGAATAAATATTGAGGGACTCTCAATAAACATTTATTGGAAAATATTTATTGAGAAACTACTAGAGATGTACTTGATCACATAATTATCAGTTTTGGTAATCCTACAACGTCTGAGATCATCTCATATCTAAGTGCAAGGTCAACTTTGCACCTTTTCAAAGGAAAGTGCAACCTCTAAGGTATTGTTTTTTGAACGCATCCAAACACATTGGTGCTCCAAATAGGACAATTTACAACACATTTTAGAGGTTTGGTTTATTTATTTGTTTATTTGGCCACAAGTTACAGATGTCATTTCTTTATGAAATTCACATGTGTTTGCTAATAAAAAATCAGGGTTGTTAATTTTTTGAGTCCGTCTATGTCACATCTGGATGTGAGGGGATACCTCACATCTGAGTATGATGTCAACACCACCTCATTTTTCATTGTTTGTCATGTTTGTTTGATTTTAATTTGTCAAAGCCCAAAACTAAAAACCAGCTCACCCCGCGTCCGCCCGGGTGGTCGGCCTATAAGTAAATCTGGTCGCTACCTGCCCTAAAAAAGGAAAATTCTGGTTTCTAGTTACCCGTTCAAAATAATCTGATCGCTAGCGCTAACATCGATTTGTTTGCATTTGCGTCTGATCGATATACACTTACAAGAACGTCTCTCATCACTAGCTTCTAGGCCACCAAGGATTTTTTTTCTTTCGGTTTTTGCATTTTTTTACTCTTATATTTTATAATTAATTTTAAGTAATATTTCAAAAACATCTTCATGAATTTACATATTTTATTTCAAATTATAAAAAATGTTATCAAATACCAAAAATATACTAATATATGGTGAACAATCCTTAATATATGATGATCTTTTATGAATACACACTAATCTTTGTGCAATATACATTATATAGGATGCATTTTTTAATTACACACAATGAAGATTTCTTCAAATACACGAAATTATTTTAAACACGTACTAAACAACTGATTGTGCATTCAAATAATGTTCACAAATTAGTAAAAAAATAGTCATGATTCAAAATTTGTTTGCAAATTCAGAAAATATGTTCTTAAATTTAAAAATATGCATGGTTTGAAAAATGTTCATAATTTTGAAAAGGTTTCAGGAATTTTAATAACAAAAAGAGGTAAGGAAAAGTGGAAAAACAAAAAGCCAACAGGACAAAAACAAATAGAGAAAATAGATAAATAAGAAGAGAACAAAGAATGAACATAACTTGATTTTGTTTAAAAAATGTTAAACATGAACAAATTTACGAATTTGGAATTATTGAAACTTGTGAATTTGTGAAAAAAGAAAAAGAATAAAAAACAAAAAATGAGATCAAATTTTGACAATAGAAATATTGAAAGGAGAGGAAAACCAATGAATAAAAAATGATAAAATAAAAGTAATGGAAAAACATGAAGAAAACAAAACCAAAAACGCATCCTAGCTACTTGGGCCGGCTCATCCGTGGTTTGTTCGCCGTCGAGGGTGGACATGCAACTGGGACAAAGAAAGATTGTACTCCCGGTTGCGAGTCGAGAGTGGACTTGCAATTGGGATTACAAAAGGTCGGCCGAGTTGCGAGTCAAGTTTGGACTTGCCACTGGGACAAAAGTTTGGGCCCCAGGTGCGATTCGAGGATGGACTTGCAACTGGGACAAGAAAAGGTTGATTCCTAATTGTGAGTCAACCGTGGACTTGCAACTGGGACAAAAGAAAGGTTAGGCCCCAGTTGCGAATCGAGAGTGGACTTGCAATTGGGACTAAAAAATTCGGGCCCCAGTTGCGAGTCGAGCGTGGACTTGCAAGTCGGACAAAAAAGGTTGGGCCCTAGTTGCGAGTTGAGGGTGGACTTGAAACTTAGACAAAAAAGGTTGGGCCCCGATACGTCTCCAACGTATCTATAATTTTTTTATTGTTCCATGCAATTATATTATCAGTTTTGGATGTTTTATATGCATTAATATGCTATTTTATATTATTCTTGGGACTAACCTATTAACCTAGAGCCCAGTGCCAGTTTTTGGTTTTCCTTGTTTTTTAGCTTCATAGAAAAGGAATGCCAAACGGAGTCCAAATGAAATAAAACCTCCGCTATGATTTTTCTTGGACCAGAAGACACCCATGAGACTTGGAGTGCAAGTCAGAAGACCCACGAGGTCGCCACAAGGGTGGAGGGCGCGCCTAGGGGGGTAGGGCGCGCCCCCCTACCATGTGGGCCCCTCGGTGACCCCCTGACCTAGATCTTCCACCTATATATTCACATATATTCCCAAACCACGAGAAGCATCGATGAAAACACTTTGCCATCGCCGCAACCTTCTGTTCCCGTGAGATCCAATCTTGGGGCCTTTTCCGGCATCCTGCCGGAGGGGGATTCGATCACGGAGGGCTTCTACATCAACTCTATTGTTCTTCCGATGAAGCGTGAGTAGTTTACCTCAAACCTACGGGTCCATAGCTAGTAGCTAGATGGCTTCTTCTCTCTCTTTGATTCTCAATACCATGTTCTCCTCGATGTTCTTGGAGATCTATCCGATGTAATCTTCTTTTGTAGTGTGTTTGTCGAGATCCGATGAATTGTGGATTTATGATCAGGTTATCTATGAATATTATTTGAATCCTCTCTGAATTCATGTATGCATGATTTGATATCTTTGTAATTCTCTTCGAACTATCGGTTTAGTTTGACCAACTAGATTGGTTTTTCTTGCAATGGGAGAAGTGGTTAGATTTGGGTTCAATCTTGTGGTGTCCTTTCGCAGTGACAGTAGGGACGGCAAGGCATGTATTCTATTGTTGCCATCAAGGATAAAAAGATGATGTTATGGCTTGAGTTTATTCCTCTCCATCATGTCATCTTACTTAATGTTGTTGGGGAACGTAGCATAATTTTAAAATTTGCTACGCATCACCAAGATCAATCTATGGAGTCATCTAGCAACAGGGAGCGGGGAGTGCATCTACATACCCTTGTAGATCGCGAGCGGAAGCGTTCAAGAGAACGGGGTTGATGGAGTCGTACTCGTCGTGATCCAAATCACCGATGACCTAGCGCTGAACGGACGACACCTCCGCGTTCAACACACGTATGGTTGGGAAGACGTCTCCTCCAATTTGATCCAGCAAGGGGGAAGGAGAGGTTGATGGAGATCCAGCAACACGACGGTGTGGTGGTGGAAGCAACGGTGATCTCGGTAGGGCTTCGCCAAGCTCAGGGAGAGGGAGAAGTGTCACGGGAGGGAGAGGGAGGCGCCAGGGGCTAGGGTGCGGCTGCCCTCCCTCCCCCCACTATATATAGGACCCCTAGGGGGGCGCCGGCCCTAGGAGATGCAATCTCCAAGGGGGGGCGGCGGCCAAGGGGGGTGGAGTGCCCCCCAAGCCAAGTGGGGAGCCCCCCACCCCTAGGGTTTCCAACCCTAGGCGCAGGGGAGGCCCATGGGGGGCGCACCAGCCTACTAGGGGCTGGTTCCCCTCCCACTTCAGCCCATGGGGCCCTCCGGGATAGGTGGCCCCACCCGGTGGACCCCCGGGACCCTTCCGGTGGTCCCGGTACAATACCGATTACCCCCGAAACTTCCCCAATGGCCGAAACTTGACTTCCTATATATAAATCTTCACCTCCGGACCATTCCGGAACTCCTCGTGACGTCCGGGATCTCATCCGGGACTCCGAACAACTTTCGGGTTACCGTATACTAATATCTCAACAACCCTAGCGTCACCGAACCTTAAGTGTGTAGACCCTACGGGTTCGGGAGACACGCAGACATGACCGAGACGACTCTCCGGTCAATAACCAACAATGGGATCTGGATACCCATGTTGGCTCCCACATGCTCCTCCATTATCTCATCGGATGAACCACGATGTCGAGGATTCAATCAATCTCGTATACAATTCCCTTTGTCAAT